CACCATCCCCACCCTCATCCCGCATTCCCTTTGTCTCCCAGGTCCTTGTCTCCCTTTGTTTTTCTCCCACTTTTCCGGAGAGACCTCTGGGACTTGTCCCAAAGTGGCTGTGACATTTATTTAGCGCCCACCATGTATCAAGCGCAGTATTCATGTCATCTGTATCTTATTTAAGCCCTATAAGCATCTGGTAAGATGCGATTACGTTCAGGAGTATTAAGCCAGTTGCTTAAGGTCACCCAGCACATAGTTTCAGAATGGGATTCAAACCAAGTCTAGGTTGACTGGTGCATGGCCAGTGTCCCACGGCTCTCAGTAGAGTGAGGGATGCTGATTTGAATCCTCCAGTGTTGGGTCTGGGTCAAGGACTGCTCTTCTCTACGTGCTGACTAGTCATGTGACCAAGAACAAGTTAGTTGACCTGGGAACTCACATTTCTTTTATTGGGCTCTGGGGATACTAAGACAAACAAGGCTACAATGCTTAGCACATAGTAGGTGCTATTATTAAGTTTTGGGTGCATGTAGTAACAGAGACTCAAAGTAAAAGAGGCTAGAAGAGTATTTATCTGTTCCACTGAAGTCCACGTGCAGGAAGTTCAGACATGGCGAGGGGGCTCCACAGAAGTGTGAGGTCCATTTGCTTCCATCGTTCCACTCGGCTCTCCCTGGGGTTCTCATGGTCCAAGGGAGATCGATTCACGTTCCAAGCAGCAGTAGGTGGGAGGGAGGCAAGGATAGTCACGCCCTTCCCTGAAAGGACACATCGATATACAGGCTGTCTGTCATTGACCTTGCTAAGCAGCACTTGCCTGTTTTATCTAATCCCACTGCAGGCTGCAGGGGTGGCAACTCAGAGGTCTTGGGGGCCCAGACTGGAAGCATGACCAGGCAAGGTTGCCCTAGGCAGTGGTGGACAATGTGGTCTGAAGAGGGCATGCCCTGTCTAGCATGCTGGCTGCTCCTGAGTCCAGCCAGTAAGTGCCTGGAGGCACTCTGGGTTGATGTGGCCAGATCTGATCACTCAAGGGAAGCCAACAACCTGGATTTTTGTGGGAACATCTCCCCAGTTTATGCTCTGGCTTAACAAGGCACATAGTGGCAGCCCATAGCCACCTTCCTGAGACACCTGATGGACATCTGGTTACATATCCTTCTTCAGGCTCCCTTGGCTACACCTTCCTGGGTCATAGACCCCCAGCAATGCTGAGGTTCTTAGATCCTGATCTTTGTCCCCCTATGCCCCTGCAGCGAAGGGGAGTGGGATTTCTACTGGTGCGATGTCAGCTGGCTCCGGGAGAACTTTGACCACACCTACATGGACGAGCATGTGAGGATCAGTCATTTCCGGAACCACTATGAGGTGAGCTGGGCCAGCTGGACAGGACAGCAGCAACCAGCTTATGGTTGAATACAAGGATATAAGGAGTGGAGTGAAAAAATGTAAGGGGATTTTGGAGTACATGCCAGGTAGAGAATACATCATCTAGATATATGATGAATGAAATGGTTTGAGGGTGTAAGGACCTTGGGCCTGAGGACCAGGGTGTTGTGGGGTGAGGATTTGAGGTCACAGGCATTATCAGCCCTAGAGATGTGAGGGGCAGGCTGATGTGGGGGAGTACAAGAATCAGGGCAGCAAGATGTTTTGGAGATTAAAGTGATTAAGGGTGGAGGCGAGTTGAAAGGTTTGGGGTCTAGAGATGGGAAGGAGGTCTGGAAGGAACCAGATCTCAAAGATGGGTCTGGAAAAGCCAGGGGTGGGAGATTTTACCACGGTTAGTGTATTCTGGTAGTTAAAACATCACCTTGGGAGTCAGGTCCAGGTCAAATCCTGACTGTACTGCCTATTAGTTGGAAAACTCTGGCCAACTGCCTTAACCTTTCTGAGCTTCAGTTTCCTCAGCTGTGAAGTGGGGGTAACTATGATTAGAAGGTGTTCAAAGTTATTCTTAACTGTTGTTGTTATTTTATGGGCTGGAGAACTGCGGCTGCTCCAGCTGGCAGGATGGCCAGGGTTGGGATGGGAGATGGAGCAGGGCAGTGAGCAGGAGGCTAAGTCCTGCCCTGCCCACGCTGCCCAGCTGACCCGGAAGAATTACATGGTGAAGAACCTGAAGCGGTTCCGGAAACAGCTGGAGCGCGATGCAGGAAAGCTGGAGGCAGCCAAATGTGACTTCTTCCCCAAAACCTTCGAGATGCCCTGTGAATACCACCTTTTTGTGGAGGAATTTCGCAAAAACCCAGGAATCACTTGGATCATGAAGCCTGTGAGTGCCTGGTTCCAGGGGCTGGGGGTGGGGGCCAGTGGGAGGGAGGGAATCCTGGGTGCCAGAGCAGGGTCCTTCCCAGCCCATGTAGGACCATACTGTGCCTGGGAATTTTACCTTAGAGGCACAGCATGCCTTCCCTAAGGGCAGGTTTTAGTTCGGCTTCTCTGCAGCGTGTGGACCCAGGCACACAGTAGGTGCTCAGTAACTGTTTACTGAATGCACATGTGATCCTCAGGACACCAGCCAGGGAGTCCAGAGCCTCCCTCCTGACATGGAAGAGAAAACGCCAGGCCATGCCAAATGCTTTACCTGTGTTGTCCCAATCCCCATCATGACCCCAGGGGAGGTATGGCTTGTTCCTCTTTAAAGAAGGAGACCCTGGGGCTTTAGTTCAAGCATCCCACAGATATTTAGTGAGCATTTGACCTGTGCCAGGCATAGATCGAAGCATTGGGGATACAGTGGTCCTCGAGGGCCTACAGAAGCAAACGGAGGCTCCGTGTTAGCTACAGCTACACCGACTGTCATCAGGAGACAGCTGTCAGCAGAGGGGAACAGCCGGAGGATCTCCCCAGCCAACAGGCTTCTCTGAAGAAGTCAGAGATGCTGCTGGGAGGCCAAACCCCTTAGCTCAGATATTAACTGTACCACTTACTGGCTGTGCGACCTCAGGCAGATTACTTAACTTCTCTCTACCCCAGTTTTCCCATCTGCGAAGTGGGCTTACTGCAGCACCTGTCCCCTAGTGTTGTGGGACTGAGCAAGTGTACACAGGTAAAGCGTAATAAAACCTCAACAAACCGTGGTGGCTGTGGTTGTTATAAGAACGTGTCCTGAAGGATATGAAGAGGTCAGCCTTGTAAAGGGTGGAGTAGAGAACAGGATCTTGGGCAGTCATGTGCAAAGGCCGTGTATCAGAATGTGGCTATTGGGACCAGCAGATGGCATAACGGTTACATTGCTGGACAGCCATGTAGTTGACCATGGCTCGAGTCCCGTACCCACTAGCTAAAACCTCAAGCTGGGTGCATGTGCGTATGTGCCCAAAATTCTAAGAGGAGAATGGAGGAGAAGGGATTGTGGTGTAGCCATCCTTCCTGGGGGTGGGGGTGATTTCTTGCTTTCTGTCTCTCCAGTGAGTGCATACGCCCTATAGCAAAAATCTCTCCTAAAAAAAAAAAAGAAGAAGGTGGCTATTTGGTGACCAAGAAACCGAGTAGAGGAGAGGGTCTGCCTGGGCTGACCTCGCAACCACAGCCTTGAATGACATCATCAAAGCCCACTGTGAGAGTGTGCTGGTTCCAGGGATGGAGCTGGGGGTGGGGTAGGAGGTGCAGCTCTTCCTTGTGGAGCTGGAGACTGGGCCTTGTGTTGGCTGATTCAGACTTAGCCAAAACATCAGTTTGGGAGGCAGAATGGGCAGGGGCAGATAAAAATAATGGATGCTCCCAATGGGGACTGGCTCTGCCTGGGTCCTTTCCCCGTACATCTCTCCTGTCAGTGAGGAGCCCTCTTGGCTGGAGCAGTCGGTATTAGGCACGGGAGGTGTTAAGCACTAGGCAGATTCCAGCTCCAGCATTATCCTCTCAGACAAATGGTAATTTGTGCTAATTGGGAACAGCAATCGCATATTAAGTTGATTCCTTTCCCAGCCCACCGCCTTTGTTAGCAGCAGACGCAAGACAGCTGTAATTAAGAGGTGGCATCTTGGCTGTGTGTGCATGCCCCGCATGCGTGCTCACTTTCCCTCTCTCCCACGGGGAGTGGGTGCTGCTAGTCAGGGGCGCCTGGGTTCTGATCTGTATCCACCACTTACAAGCCAAGTGACCCTGCTCAGGTTACTCAACCCCTCTAAGACCCTCTAAGTCATTTTCTTTGTAAAGTGGAATTAATGAGCATATTGCCCTCACAGGGTTGTGAGAGAATTCAATGGTATTATACATGTTAAATACATGAATTATACAAGCTATATGAAGGGCTTGGCATTAGGTGCCCAGTAATTGATCATTTTCATTGTTATTTCTCAGAATTCAGGAAATGCCTTCCCTTCTCCCTGCCCACTAGAAAAGCACCAAACCAGTGTTTCTCAAACTGTAATGCACCCATGCATCATCTGGGGGTCTGGTTACAGTGCAGCACCTGGTCCAGGACGTCTGGCTGGGGCCTGAGTGTGCACGTCTAGCCAGTACCCAGGCGATGCCCGTTCTGCTAGTCCACAGAAACACTTTGAATATTGAGGTCATGGAGTGGCCCTTTTCAAGTTGGGAGTACAGCAGAGTCTGCAGAGGGGTCAGGTGGCCTCAAAAGGGAGAAGGCAGCGGCATCTCCTCTCCACCCATGGAAACCTCTTCCCCACTGAGCCTGAGCCCTGGCCCAACTCAGAGGCTTGCAGTCACCCCTGGGGAATATAAGAACAGGCCCCTAGGTGTGGCATTTAAAAGAGAGCTTATGCAAGCAGCCCAGTCCAGGCTGTCTGACTCAGTGAGCCTGGGGAGGAGCTTGGCATTTCTAACCAGTGCCCAGGAGTATGTCAGGATTCTCTAAAGAAATGGAATCCGGAGGGGTGGTGGGGGGGTTTAAGGAATTGACTCATGTGATATAGCCAGCGGTGACATCTGAAATCTGTAGTCTGGAAACTCAGACAGCAGTTTTCTGTTACAGTCATTTTTCTTTATTTGTGCATGAGAGAGAGAGAGAGAGAGAGAGAGAGAGAGAGAGAGAGAGAGAGAGAGAGAGAGAGAGGAGAGCACCCCTACAGGGTCTGATCATGGGCAACCCCCTTCTTCCAGTCATCCAGCCATCAGATCATGGCCACTCCTGTGTGTGCCATGCATGATTCAGGACGACTGGGCTAGGGATTTGAACTGCAGTTGCCATGTGGCTTCCAGCACTGCAGTTCGGCACTCTACCCCCTGTGTTACCATGGCAGGGCTTACATTACAGTCTTGAGGCAGAATTGCTTCTTTGTCACAGCTCCAAAGTCCTCGACTGATTGGATGAGGCCTACCCATGTCATCAAAGGCAATGCCCTTTATTTAAAGTTACTGGTCTGCAGAATTCCTTCAGAGCAACACCTTGATTAGTGTTTGACCAAATAACTGGGCACCATAGCATAGTCAAGTTGATACCTAAAATTAACCAACGCACTAAGTTGTGAGGGTGCTGGTCCAGGGACCACATTTTGAGAACCCCTGGGTTAGACAGTTAGTTCTGGGATCTCATTTGGATTCTTTTGGAGAGAAAGAAGGATTTTTAAAAACAGAATATTACTCTAAATTTAGAGAACAGAGGGAAGAGTCCCCAGAACCCCACTCTTCCCACAAGGCCTGTCTTTGTCACCCAGTTGGTCCTTGTCCACCGTAGGCAACAGTTTTCACAGCTGCCGTGGCCAGGCCTGT